TGAATGTAAGCTTATAAAGGTGAACCAATGTCAGCTTAGGAGGAAAACAACAAATTAAGGACAGTAAGCATTTGATCATGGCATAGTTGTAAAGTGAAAAACAACATTTCCACATATTTCCATCACAACATGATACAATAATATTCACAAAAAAGAGAGAAATAAGAAGAAAAGATAGAGAGGAAAAATGTTCAAAATTGAATATTCAATATAGAAATTATGATTCTTGGTAGATTAATGATATATAGATGTTTACCAATGATATTGTCATTGATAGACTCATAAGAAGAGGAATCAATGGAATAAGAGAAGCCAACTCCAATAGGTGATTCCAAATATAGCATATTTGCTTCCGCATACAAATGGGCATGTTAAGGATCAAAACTTCGGGTCGATTTGAACATACCTAGAAATGCAAAAGACAGAAATTACAAAAAATACCTCTATTCTAGATATATTCATTATTGACAAGAAATGGACCACTAGGTCTAAATGGCCTATTCCCAAAAAATGCCCCTAACTCCCAATGAACAACACCCAGGTCTTACAATTCCACCATGAAACATAAAGATCAATCCCCATAGAAATCTCTCTGCAAATGAGTTTTAAGTGAAACAAATGAATTGCTCCATTGAGCCCAAGAACAAGAGGCTTGGAGGCAAGATCAACTTCAGCTTCAGTAAAGTAGCAAAACAAAGATTTCTGCCTTTTGTCATCAATGATCACATAACCAGAGTACTATTGGAATCCCACCAGAGGTTGGCGGGTAAGAGAGCAATCCAGTTAAGGAGAGGAGGGAAAGACTTAACTTGAATGCAAATGTGAAGTTGCAGCAAAATTACAACAAAGGCCATTATTCTCCATGGGAGAGAAATCATGGTGTTTAGAAAGAGGTGGATGACAAACATGAGACAAACTAGCACTTGGTAAACTATAAAAGCTAGGAGGTGTTGTCACAAGTAAGATAGCAATCGATGTAGGCATGGTTGCAGATAGAGAGGTGCCTAGTGTTATTGATAAGGGAGTAAAATCAATAGATATAAGTTTAGTGCAAGTAGTAATATTAGCGGTACTTTGAGCAGCCATGGGTAAAGAGGTTAATGTGTGGATAGGTGTAGGTAATTGGATCACACTCATTTGAGTTTTGATGCTTTGATACAATAT